GTGGGGGTGGAGCAGCGTCCTCTTGGCCCTGGGGTAGCTCTGTGCCCACCTCCCAGCTTACACCCTGCAACCTTTGTGATGGGAGGCTCTAGACCCCAGGAGTTGACTTTTGTTTTTTTTTTTTGGAGCACGCCAAGAATAAGAATGCCTGCTGCTCCCGCTTTAAGGAAAACCCCAGCCCTCTGCCACCTCTGTATTGGTGCCTCCAACATTCTATTGCCCTTACCGGTTTTCAGGTAGATTCCCCAGTTCCCAAGCCCTGCCTCTCTCCCTCACCAGACTGCAAGTTCCTCCAGGGCAGAGACTTTGATTCCTCTTCACTGAACCTGGGCTCCCGTGGTGCCTGGCACCTGGTGGTGCTTACTAAACATTGAGTGAATGATTGCTGAGGGGTGAGTTTCAGTTTGGGATCTGCTGTGTGACCCGAGGTACATCACTCCACTTCTCTGGGCTTCGGTTGGCTAAGGTGTCCTTTAACACTGACATTCCTGCGTCTCTGAGAGGAGCACAGTGTGGTGGGGAAGTGCAGACTCTGGAGCCCACAGTGTGTGTCCAGATCTTGGCTCTGCCGCTTACCATATTGTTCTCTCTGTGCCCCCTTTCTGTGAGCTTCCCCTTCTGTAAGATGGTGATAATGACGTACCTACACCATAGGGTTGTCCGCATTAAATGCTTTAAAGTTGGAGTGTAAATGTCAACACTAAATGCTTACTGTATGTAAATTCTGAGAACCAGGCCTATTATATAGGCCCCATTTATCGTTTTATCTTTGGATGAAATAGCTCACTGACAATGTTATCTTTGTTTTTTTTTGAGACAAGTCTCACTCTGTTGCCCAGACTGGAGTACGGTAGCATGATCTCAGCTCACTGCAACCTCTGCCTCCTGGCTTCAATCAATTCTCCTGTTTCAGCCTCCCAAGTAGCTGGGGCTGCAGGTGTGTGCCACCATGCCCGGCTAAATTGTTGCATTTTTAGCAGAGGCGGGGTTTTACTGTGTTAGCCAGGATGGTCTTAATCTCCTGATCCACCCACCTTGGCCTCCCAAAGTGCTGGGATTACAGGTGTGAGCCACTGCGCCTGGCTGTTATCTTTTTTTTTTTTTTTTTTTTTTTTTTTTGACAGGGTCTGGCTCTGTGGCCCAGACTGGAGTGCAGTGGTGCCATCTTGGCTGACTGCAACCACCGCCTCCTAGGCTCAAGACATCCTTCTACCTCTGTCTCCTTAGTAGTGGGGACCACAGGTGTGCGGCCACCACACCTGACTAATTTTTGTATTTTTCATAGAGATGGGGTTTTGCCATGTTGCCTAGGCTGGTCTTGAACTCCTGAGCTCAAGCAATCCATCAGTCTGGGCCTCCCAAAGTGCTGGGATTAGAGTCATGAGCCATGGTGCCCGGTGAAAATGTTATCTTGATAGTTACTGTAGGTCAGACAGAGGCTCTCTGGGATTGAATGAGACATTTGACAAATTTTCTGATGTTCTTGAAGGCAAGATGGAAAAGTGGGCTGTGGGGAAAAGTATAGCTGGGTCAATTCCCAAACAGAGGGAGGGTTTCTAAGAAGAGCACACCATGGGGACCTGTCCTTGCTTTTCTTCACAATAGGAACCCCGCACCCCCCCCGCCACACCAACATGCCAACTGGCAATCAGGACAGACCCTCTCAGCTCCTTCCGCCTCTTGGTTTCTGTGCTCATGTGTGTATCTTCCGTGGGACCAGACACTTCTTCAGGCTGGGAGGCGGCTGATTCACTGTGTATCTCCTGTATCACTTAGGTCAGTGTTCAGCCAAAGTAGATGCTCAATAACACACACTCATGTGCTCATAGAGTAATGAAACCATGTTTCCCAAATGAATGGGATGCTCCCAGCTTGGGTGGGCAGGTTGCAGGGGATGACTATTGTTTCAGAGAAGAGAATTGAGAATCAGAAGGATCTCCAGAGATTGGCAGGATTCATTCATTCAACTACCATGTACTGAGCACCTATTGGCTGCCAGGCACCATTCTTAAGTGCAGAGGATATAGAGGTGAGCCAAAGACAAAGTCCCTGCCCCCATGGAACTCAATTCTAGTGCAGGAAAGCTAGCAAGCAGAATGAGTGAGTACAATACACGGTGCGTGAGGAAGTGACAGATGCCAAGTAGAAAGAAAGCAGGGAAGGGGAGAAGAGTGGCGAAGGAGGGATGGTCTCGGGCTTGCAGTTTTGGTCTGGGGCAGCCAGGGAAGGTGAATGAAGGCCAGAAGGAGATGGGGAGCAAGCTAGGAGGATATCTGGGGAGGAGCATTTCAGGAAGAGGACACAGGGAGCACCACATCCCCGAGGCTGGAGTGTTCCTGGAGTGTTTGAGAATAAATTAGGGAATAAACGAAGTTAGTCCTCTTTTGTGCCTTACACCTTTTTCTCCCTATCATAAGTACAATCAAAGACTTGTTTCACATCTGTTTCCCCGATAGACTCTAAGGCCTGTCTTACTTCAGTGGCTAGGGCTTGGTCTCAGGTAAATTTCTAACTCTCAGCACAGAGCCTGAAATATGGTGGGTGCTCAACCATATGTTGTTGGATAAATAAATAAATGGCTTTTGGGTGAAAAGATCGACGGCACAAGCCTCGCTTCTGCACAGTGGTCTGCAGCGGGTAGGGCTCGGAGGTGTGTCGATTCCTCAGTGGAATTCAGTGCATTTCCCAGCCTTCTTCTGGACTCCGGGGCTACTCCAGATTGCCTCCCCTCTCCTTAGCGCACCTAATTCTCCTCCTGGATCTTTTTTCTCCTCTTCTCTTTCTCACCTGGTCCCTTGCTCCTTGAACTCGTTTGTCCCCCCCCCCCCCCCCCCCCCGCTGAAGGTCCTGCCTCTTCTTCCTCTTGAGGTCACCTGCCATTCAGTTTTATTCAGGCATGCTGCCAGTTGGGACCAGGGGAAGGAGGAAGGGGCTTTTAATCCTCTGGAGGGAGGAGAGGTACACTCACTGTTTTCTGGCCTTGGGTGGAGTATTTGCAGGATTGTTCAAATTGCTAAGAGTGACTTCCTCATAGCACATCCTTGAGTGTTTATTATTCTGAGCCTGTGTTTGTCCCTACTTTGAGTCGCATAGTCAAAGGCAATGTAACTTGCTTGTGAATGTACCAGGCTCTAGAAAAGGGAAGGGGGGATAGGGAGAAATCGCTCCCTTGCCATGTAAACAAGACATTTTAGATACTCTCCCAAATTAGGGTGGTCCAATTCTGCTGGCCAGTGGTGGAGGAGCTTAAGTGGAGTCTACCGGATGCCTTCTTTCCAGGAGTCCTGCCACTGCAGGGAGGTTGTACTGAAATATCAGATGAACCCAAGAGTGCGCCTCCACCCACCAGACTTTCAGGCCAGAGGCAGAGACTGTCCTGGGGGGAGCCCCAAATGTCCTGTTTCTGCTCCCAGTCCCTGAGGAGTTTCTTCCTTTCCTTGCCCTTCCTTCCTCCCTCCCTCCTTCCTTCCTTCCTTCCTTCCTTCTTTCCTTCCCTCCTTCCCTCCTTCCCTCCCTCCTTCCTTCCTTCCCTCCTTCCCTCCTTCTTTCCTTCCTTCCTTCCTTCCTTCCTTCCTTCCTTCCTTCCTTCCTTCCTTCCTTCCTTCCCTCCTTCCTTCATTCCTTGCTCTGTTGGCCAGGCTGGAGTGCAGTGGCACAATCTTGGCTCACTGCAACCTCTGTCTCCCACGCTCAAGCAATTCTCCTGCCTCTGCCTCCCAAGTAGCTAGGATTACAGGTGTCCACCACCACACCTGGCTAATTTTTGTATTTTTATTAGAGATGGGGTTTTACCATGTTGGCCATGCTATTCACAAACTCCTGACCTCAAATGATCTACCTGCCTTGGCCTCCCAAAGTGCTGGGATTAGAGGCATGAGCCACCATGCTTGGCCAGGAGTATTTTTCTAAATGCACATTGTTATTTATTTATTTATTTTTTTGAGACCAAGTCTTGCTCTGTTAGCCAGGCTGGAGTGCAGTGGTGCAATCTTGGCTCACTACAACCTCTGCCTCCTGGGTTCAAGCAATTCTCCTCCCTCAGCCTCCTATGTAGCTGGAATTACAGGAGTGCACCACCACACCCGGCTAATTTTTGTATTTTTAGTAGAGATGGGGTTTTACCATGTTGGCCGGGCTGGTCTTGAACTCCTGAATTCCAGTGATCCACCCATCTCAGCCTCCCAAAGTGCTGTGATTATGGCCATGAGACACTGTGCCTGGCCCTAAGCGCACAGTTCATTTTGGAGCCTGGGTGGTGGTTCTGACTTATAACTCGAGGAAGCAGAGCCTGGTGGCAGGTGAAGGGCCTGGCCCCAAGTACTTGTGGAAGGAACCGAGCCACAGGCTGGGTGAGAAACATGCCGTCCCATGCGATCCTGGATGGAGATGCCTGGTTTTAGTGGGGTGGTGCCTCATGGATGATTGCTGGGTTGGGCAAGAGGAGGGACTTGGAAACCCTGTTTTTCTGTTTCATTTCCAAATCTGGAGTGTCTTTTAGCCAACGACGGCAATAACACCTCCATTAACCTCCTCCCTTTGTGGCGCTGCTAGTGCCTTCCTTCTCCAACTCCTTGAGGCGGATTCTCTGTTGAGAATCCAGGGCACTCTGAGGCTTCCTCTGAACCCCTTCTAGCTTTCTTTCCTCTTCAGCCTCCCGCTGCTTCCCTATTTCCTCCAGGAAGCCTTCCCTGAATAGCCTCGGTGACTTTGCTCGGGCCACCCCTCCCCGTCCCTCAACACTGCAGTCCCCGTTTCCTGCCTGCTTCCTTGTCTTTGGGGACACCTATTTCTCCACCAGCCTGGGAGCTCCGAGGGCAGGGTCTGGGTATCCCTCTCCCTTGGCTCTGCACGTGCCGGACACTTGTTCTCTAGGCATGTCAGAGTAAGTCAGCTGGAGCCAAGTGACAGACACAGTCAGGTCAAGAGCATCTTGCTCTCCAAGGCCCAGCCCAGGTACAGGAGTGGATAAAAGTCTCGTGCTGGGGCCCCAGGGCAGAAACGCACACACCTTGACAATCCGTCTGTCGGTCTGCAGCTGTGCTGTGCGACTGCCTGTCTCTGCCATGCCTCTCTCCCCGTGCCGGCCCCAGAGGGGCTTCAGCACTCGCTCAGCCTGTTGCACTCGCTCAAGGGGCTGTAGCAGTGTTGGCTTCAGCAGCAGGAGCCTTAATTCCTTTGGGGAGTGCCTGGGGGGCTCTCATCGGAGCACCTGGGGGTCAGGGGGAAGGCTGGGGGTGCGGTTTGGGGAGCAGAGTGGTGGGCCTGGGCTTTCCCTGTGCCCTCCGGGGGGCATCCAAAAAGTGACCATCAACCAGAATCTGCTGACCCCACTGAAGATTGAGATTGACCCCCAGTTCCAGGTGGTGCGGACGCAGGAGACCCAGGAGATCAGAACCCTCAACAACCAGTTTGCTTCCTTCATTGACAAGGTGAGGGTCAACTCAGCCCAGTCCCTGTCCCGGTGCGTCCCTTGGAGGAGCTGCTCTTGATGGACTTGGGAATGGGAAGTTTGACCTCCTTCTACCACTTTCCTAATAACTTCTGCAGCAAGGAAGTCCCTCCTGTGGTCTAACTGGACTCTCTCTGGCTGTGCTGAGGCCCTGTTGTTCCATGACTGGGGCTCAGGGATAGAGGATGGCCAGCCAGCAGGGGGAAGACCCCGCCCCATTAGTCTGCCCAGTTATTTTGCTGTGTTCAGAGTGTCATGAAGGTCATGAGGCTCCCCCTGCCCAGGCTGGGCTGGGAGGCAGGGGAAATGTGAGGCTGACGGGAGGGTCCCTCAGACTTTACTTTCCAGAGGCTGTGCCCAGGGAGTCCCCGGAGCCTCAGGGATCCTCTGTGCTGCAGGTGCGGTTCCTGGAGCAGCAGAACAAGGTCCTGGAGACCAAGTGGCACCTGCTGCAGCAGCAGGGGGTGAGTGGCCGCCCGCAGGGCCTGGAGCCTGTCTTTGAGGCCTGCCTGGCTCAGCTCAGGAAGCAGCTGGAGCAGCTCCAGGGAGAACGAGGGGCTCTGGATGCAGAGCTGAAGGCCTGCCGGGACCAAGAGGAGGAGTATAAGTCCAAGTAGGCACACTGACGTTTCCCCATGCGATGCGGGCGGGGCCTGGGAGGACTCAGATTGGGTCTGTCAGCCAGGGGGTGTCCCACATGCTGAGCGCCCAGAGGCACATGGCTGGCCTCCCCTCTACCCTCTGCGTCCCCATTCCCCAGCCTCTCAGGTGCCCACCTGCTACAGGAAAGGAGGTCTCGCAGCCCCTACCCAGGTCTGGAGAACCCCAGAGGAAGGGCAGGGAGACCGCTGTCCTACACGCCCCAACTACAAGGGCCCGTGTTTCTAGTCAAGGCTGGGAAGGGCTTATTTAAACAAAGTGCCCCAGTGGCTTTTTTTTCCTTGAGAAATTCCTGTTCAGCAGGCTGTGGGCTAAAGTGATTCAGATGTTCTCTGGTTCCAGGAATGGAAGGAGATCAATTTAGTCGGGCCGTCCCCAGATCCGAGACACGATTCACAGATGGGCTGTGGTTCTGGGTTCCATGCCTAGGTCACCTGGTGGAGTGGAGAGAGCCCTGGACTAATAGGGCGCTTGGGTTGGGGCGACTGTGAGTGAGGGGTAGCTGTGTGGCCTGGGCAAGGCATCTCATCTCTCCCAGCCTTGCTTTCCCTTCTGTAAACTTGGGAAATGTCACCCACCCTTCTGACCTCCCAGGGCTGTTGGGACAATGGAATGTGAGGTGGAGGAAGGCAGGCTCTGGAAGGAGCCCAGGATTGGGTCAGGAGACCTGGGTTGGGTCTGCTTTGTCTTACCTAGTCATCTGTGAGGTCTTGGTCAAATTGTCTAATCTCTCTGATAAAGCCCAGAATGCCTGCCTGCAGTGATGAGTGTACACAGCAAGTGAGAAAAGGTATCTGGATGTGCCTTACAAACTGAAACAATGTGGCTGTTGTCATGAAAGGACAAGGGCTGAAAGAGTGGCAGAGGGACACAGCTAGGGCGTGGCAGGAAAGAAGGGCTGGTTGCTGTCCTGTTTTGTGGCATTCTAAGGCAAGAAGTCCTTTTCAGGGAGGTCATACTTGCAGGCGAGGTCATGGGCTCTGACCGTGGACCCTCGAACTGCATCCTTTTCTATTTATTTGGCAGGTACCAGGAGGAGGCCCACAGGCGCGCCACACTTGAAAATGACTTTGTGGTCCTCAAGAAGGTGAGGAGGGTGGCCAGTGCTCCATTTAGGTCCTAAGCATCCACCGTGCATGGAGCCTAGCCCCAAGCTGGGAGGGAAAGTGTGGGAGGGGTATCATTTAGGACAGGGTATCATTCTGCCTGTAGGGGTCCCCTGGGGAAATAGGACATCTGCCTAGACACAGGGACCCCAAGATAAGATCTGACTGAAGGACTGCTTGACAAGCTCTGATGTCACTGCAGGAGAGGGCGGGGAGGGAGAGGAAGAAGCAGAACTGGTTGCAATTAATCAGGGAAGACTTCTTGGAGGTGATGTTGGGTCAATGTGGGGCAAAGGAGAGAGTGGGACAGGGAGGGGCTGGAGGAGGAAGGAGGGGGTCTCTGGAGGCAGTGGTGGATGGGTGTTGAGTAGTCCATCAACAGAATTCCTGAGCCAGAGTAGGGCCCCAAAGGGGAAGAGGGGGTTACACGATTTCTCTCCCCCTGTCTCCAGGATGTGGATGGGGTTTTCCTGAGCAAGATGGAGTTGGAGGGCAAGCTGGAAACTCTGAGGGAGTACATCTGCTTCTTGAAGCGTCTGTATGAAGAAGTGAGGCTCTACAAAGGGCAGGCGGGAGCCAAGAGAGGGGACTGGGTGGGCCGGCTCCCTGTGGCCATGGGGAGTGGCCAGGAGGGGAAGTCTGTTAAGGTGGCTTTGATTCCGGGTCATTCAGTCAGTCTACAATCAATTACTGAAAACTTGCTATGTGAATTGCTAGGTCCTGGAGATACATCAAGGAATAACCAGACAAAAATCCCTAAGTTTGCTTTCTAGCGGGAGACAGGCAATAAGGAACAGACTTAGTTGCTTAGTAAATAAGGAAATTATAAGGTATAAGGGAATAAGGAAATTACATAGTATGTTAGAAGGTGATGAACTCCATGGAAAAAGGAAAATGAGAACAGGGAAAGGAGTGGGAACATGGAGCAGGTGGCGATTTCAAATTGTGCGGCCAGAATAGACCTTGTTTAGGAGAGAGAATCTGAGCAAAGATTTGGAGGAGATGAGGAAGCTCACCATGCAGGTGGGTTTCTGGGATTCTGGGAGTGCGCTGTCTGAGGAAATGCAGGAAGGCCAGTGTGGCTGGAGCAGTAGGAGCAAGAGAGAGGAGTGTGATAAGAGGTCTGAGGAGGGCTGGGTGAGGTGGCTTACGCCTGTAATCCCAGCACTTTGGGAGGCTGAGGCAGGCAGATCACCTGAGGTCAGCAGTTTGAGACCAGCATGGTGAAACCCCATCTCTACAAAAAATACAAAAATTAGCCAGGCGTGATGGCATGCACCTGTAATCCTAGCTACTAGGGAGGCTGAGGCAGAAGAATCACTTGAACTGGGGAGGTGGAGGTGACAGTGAGCTGAGATCATGCCACTGCACTCTAGCCTAGGCAACAGAGCAAGACTCCATCTAAAAAAAAAAAAAAAAAAAAAAGAGGTCTGAGGAGTGATAGAGGCTGGGTGGTTTTGGGCCTTGCAGGCCATTTTCTATTAATGTCCAAGCTGCAAGAGACCTCAAAGACCACCTCCTATGACCCTCATTTTTGAATGAGGAGATTGAGTCCCAAGGTGGGCAGGGCATACTCAATGCCACCTGGCATGATGGGGGTCAGGGCGTGTAGGCAGAAATTCATCATCCTGCTCACCTGTGCTAGGCTTCAAGGGGAGAGGGAGCTGGGGGTGGGTGGACACTGAGTTCGTCTTTCCGGCAGGAGCTGGCCCAGCTCCAGACCCAGGACAGTGACACGTCTGTGGTGCTGTCCATGGACAACAACCGCTACCTGGACTTCAGCAGCATCATCACTGAGGTCCGCGCCCGGTACGAGGAGATCGCCCGGACCAGCAAGGCTGAGGCTGAGGCCCTGTACCAGACCAAGGTGGTGGGACCCGGGGGGCAGCTCCATGCTGGAAATGGCTGGGTCTCCATGCCCATACTCTAGGGTGGCCATCCACCTTGATTCCATTGGGGCAGTTCCTGTTACCTGCCTGAAGGTCTGGGGCTGGGTGGGCAGGGGCATTTCCCCCTAGGAGGGAGGCGAGACAGGGGAGCTGTGGGAGGTAAAGTTGGACTTCTAGGAGCACATCGCACCGTGTCCTGGCTGCAGACATTTAACACATAAGGAAGTGAGAGGTGGCATTCCAAACATGGCGAGATGGTCAAAGGTGGGGGTCTTCTCAACTAACGGTGTCCCCTCTGTTCCCCCATCAGTACCAGGAGCTTCAGGTGTCTGCCCAGCTTCATGGGAACAGCATTCAGGAAACTAAAGTCCAGATCTCTCAGCTGCGCCAAGAGATTCAGAGGCTGCAGAGTCAGATTGAGAACCTCAAGAAGCAGGTAGATTCCCGGAATCCCCCAAGCGTCCTCTCTTGCCTTCATGCCTTCAACTCACTCCCCAGTTCCTAGCTTCTCTCTCTCTGGTCAGGGTTGGTAGTAGGTTTGTGTCAAGGACGTTGACAACTGGCTGCAGCTTTGGATAATTTGGGGAGAAGAGAACTTCAAGCCCCATCTAGGGTGAATTCAGCCTTCCTTCCTGCTGTGACTTCTAGCCGCTTTTTGGCTTCTGTGGGACAGTGTCACTGCACTGCACACCCCTGGAGTTAGGGAGGGCTCGATAGCATTGTAGTCTATGTCCAGGTGTACATCTTGCTTTCAGCCCCTTGGGGAGAGGGTTAATTCATCTCTTGGTTCTTTACTTTTTATTTTTGAGACAAAATCTTACTCCGTTGCCCAGGCTGGAGTGCAGTGGCGCGATCTGGGCTCACTGCAATCTCTGCCTCCCGGGTTCAAGCGATTCTCCTGCCTCAGCCTCCCAAGTAGCTGGGATTACAGGTACCCGCCACCATACTTGTCTAATTTTTGTATTTTTTGTAGAGATGGGGTTTCACCATGTTGGATAGGCTGGTCTCAAACTCCTGATCTCAAGTGATCTGCCCAGCTGGGCCTCCCAAAGTGGTGGGATTACAGGCGTGAGCCAATGCACTCAGCCACATATCTTTATTTATTTATTTATTTATTTATTTATTTATTTATTTAGTTTTGAGATGGAGTCTTGCTGTTGTTGGCCCGGGCTGGCGCAATCTTGGGTCACTGCAACCTCTGCCTCCTGGATTCCAGCAATTCTCTTGCCTCAGCCTCCTGAGTAGCTGAGATTACAGGCACCCACTACTATGCCTGGCCAATTTTTGTATTTTTAGTAGAGATGGGGTTTCATCGTGTTGGCCAGGCTGGTCTCGAACTCCTGACCTTAGGTGATCCACCTGCCTCGGCCTCCCAAAGTGTTGGGATTACAGGCGTGAGCCACCGCACCCAGCGCACATCTCTTATGTCTTCTTTTGACTCTTAGTTCTCAAGCCCGGCAGGGACTTTAAGGTCAAACACTGAAGGTCCTGGTGCCCTGTTGGGGAAGTTGGGAGTCAGGGCCTCGGAGAGTAGGTGAGGTGGCAGCAGGGTGGGGCTAACTTCTCCTTAGGTAGTTGTATTACAAGGGTCAGAAATAGAGAGAGGGGTTGGCAAGGGGAGGGAGGCAGTTTCCTGCTCTTCCTGAGGTCTAGAGACCTCACTTCTAGATGTGAAGTGTTATGAATTCTCAATCTGTAATGTATCCTTGCGCTCATATTTCCTAAACCCGAGAGATCAATTTGGGGATCAATGGAGGATGGAGAGCAGAGACCACAGAGTCAGGCCATTTCCTCAAGCACTGCAGCTTGATGCAAAAGTGACATGCGGTCCCTCGACTCCCAAGCAAAGCCCTCCTGGAGGGTTCTTGGAGCATCCAGAACCCCCTCTTCATGCCAAACTATCCTTCTGGCTCTTAATTGCAATGAGAGGCTGAGATGACTGTGATGGGTCCTCTACTCAATTTGGTGCCACTGTTTCACCAACCAATTTGGACCCCTTGCTTTGGAATCCTCTGCGGTGGCTGTTAAGATGCAGATTCCTGGGCCTCCTGGCAGAGCTGAGGAGTCAGAATCTCTTAAGATGGGGTCCAGAGATCTGCTTTTTAAATGCCCAGCTGGTTCTGAAGCATGTGGTCTTCAGAGTCCAGTGGCAGCACTCTGGAGTGTGTTCTGGGTACCCAGGCCTGGGAATCACAGCTCCTCACTTAGCAACGTGCCTCCCCGGGAGAATCACTCCTGCGGCCATAGCACTGTCCCGTGCTCCTTTTCCTGCACAAACATGATGAAGTGGGCTCCCCTGTGCAGGCCCAAGTGGGTTAGGGTCCCAGTTCTGCCTGGCTAATTTTTGTATTTTTAGTAAAGATTGGGTTTCGCCGTGTGCGTCAGGCTGGTCTTGAACTCCTGACCTCAGGTGATCCACCCGACTCGGCCTCCCAAAGTGCTAGGATTACAGGTGTGAGCCACCGCGCCCGGCTGAGATGATATTTTTTGAACCCAAAATTGAGGCACATGGTTTGAGGTACTCTGACAACAGGACAAAGTATTTGAAATGGGACTATCTGAAAAAAGTGAAGAACCATGGTGGCCCTCAGGAGGAGCCTTGTAGATAGTGATGCATGGTACAGGAAGAGCTCTAAGCACCCTGGGAGAGGCTCTGGTAAAGTGCAGAGGGTTGGGGGTGGGGAGAAATAGGAAAAGAGCACTTGGGGAGGTGGTGTAGGAGGTGTACTGGTGTCCCTGGGCTGCCGTGACAAATCACCACAAATTGGGTGGCCTAAAGCAACAGAAATGTAACCTCTCACAGTCCTGGAGCCTTGAGGTCTGAAATCAAGGTGTCGGCGGGGCCGTGCTCTCTCTGAAGGTGCAGCGGGAGTCCTCCCTGGGTCTTGCTAGTTTCTGCAGGCTCCAGGAGCTTCTTGACATTTCCTGCCTTATTGCTGCATCATACTAATCTCGGCCTCTCTCTTCTGATGAGCTCTTCTCTCTGTGTCTGTCTCTGTGTTCCCTCTTCTATTCATAAGGACACCAGTGATTGGATTTAGGGCTCACCCTAAATATGGTATGATATGATCATGAGACCCTTAACTACGTATGTAAAGAGGCTGCTTCCAATAAGATCACATTCTGGGGTCCTGGGTGGGCATGAAAGTTTTGGGGGATACTCTTCAACCCACTGCAGGAGGTAAGGAAGTGAGGGAAGCAATGCCTTTCCTGAGAATGAGAGGAGCCTGTTGCAGGGGTGGTGTTGGTACAGACAGCCACGGATAAATCTGAGCTCATGAGATTAGGATCAGCCCCAGGCATCAAGTGATATCCACGGTGGGTGCTTTGGGAGGCTAGGTTGAACTTACAGCCACTTTCTTGCTCATTTCCACCCCGCTTCCAGAATGCCAGCCTGCAGGGCGCCGTCGCTGATGCCGAGCAGCGTGGGGAGCTGGCCCTCAAGGATGCTCAGGCCAAGGTGGATGAGTTGGAGGCCGCTCTGAGGATGGCCAAGAAGAACTTGGCCCAGCTGCTGCGCGAGTACCAGGAGCTGATGAGCATGAAGCTCTCCCTGGATGTGGAGATCGCCACGTACCGCAGGCTGCTGGAGAGCGAGGAGTGCAGGTGAGGGAGGCTGGGAAGGACTTGGGAATATGAGGTAGGGGAGGAGGATGGGAAGCCAACACAGCGAGCTGCTTGCTGAGGAGGATTCTGAGACATTTCCGGACATTGTGAGTCACTAAGGGCAAGCAACTCTGCAGAGAAGGATTTTAAGTTGGGGACTGGATTTTATCTGCTGAGAGGGTGGGTGACCTGCTCTGAGGGGCTTAAAAGACCGTGGGAATGCATTCTTTGCAGTCTTTCTTAGCACACCCTCCTCTTGTCCCTTTTCCCTTAGGATGTCTGGGGAGTGTCCCAGCCAGGTCACTATCTGTGAGTATCAGGGGGCTTTGAGGGTGGGATTCCCCTGGGGATCTGAGGACCCTGCTCTGACCCAGTGCGTTTCTTGGCAGCCTCGGTGGGAGGCAGTGCTGTTGTGTCTGGAGGAGTTGGTGGAGGCCTGGGGGGCACCTGTGGACTCGGTGGCGGCAAAGGCAGCTCGGGGTCCCGCTGCACCAGCGTCGTGACTGGAGGCTCCAGCATCCTCCTGGGCTCTGGGAAGGACCCTGTTTTGGGTTCCCGCTCTGTGTCTGGCTCCAGCTCTGGTTCCAGCTGCCACACCATCCTGAAGAAGACAGTTGAGTCAAGTCTGAAGACATCCACCACTTACTGAGTGACCCAGCAGCCACGTCCTTCCTGAATGCGTTTGGCCTGCTCCCCCCATCAGCCGGCTCTGCAAGGCCAACTCTGCATCCACTGCCCACAGCCCAAGCCAGCCCACAGTGGATGCTGCAAAAATCAATAAAATCTCCCTGCCTGTTGTTCTGAATGCTCTAACTGCTTGCACACCCCACCTGGCAAAACAAAAGCTATGTGGCTCCCCGGCCTCCTCTCCTGGGAAGGCAATCTGTGTCCAAATGTGTCCTATGGGCCACTGACTCCATATACCAGCCACTCTATCAAGGGATCCTTCGAGCCCTCCAGTGTGTTTCCTTGGGGCGCCAAAACAGCGCCTCCTCCATCTCCCCACCTCCACTAATGTTTTAGCGCTTGTAGCTCACTTCCTCATTTATTGCCTGCTTATTATTTTTTTTTTTTTTTGAGACAGAGTCTCTGTCGCCCAGGCTAGAGTGCAACAGCACGATCTCGGCTCACTGCAACCTTTGCCTCCTGGGTTCAAGTGATTCTCCTGCCTCAGTCTCCCGAGTAGCTGGGATTACAGGCGCCCGCCACCACGCCCAGCTAATTTTTTTGTATTTTTAGTAGAGATGGGGTTTCACCATGTTGGCCAGGCTGGCCTTGAACTCCTGACCTCAGGTGATCCACCCACCTCAGCCTCCCAAAGTGCTGGGATTACAGGCGTGGTCCACCGCACCTGGCCAATTGCCTGTTTTAAGAGGTTCTAGTCCTGACTGGGGGCAGCCACCTTCCTCCTTGTTCCTCCTTCTTCTTGACTGTGCACCAATTTTTTCTCCTCTTAGGAACCTACTGTAATTCCCACGTCTAACCTCCTGGGCCCTTCCTGTCCCTGGCAGTCTGGCTGCACCCGTTGCTGTCCCAGGCTCTGTGTCTGTCTGGTTCTGGGCAGGGACTCAGCTTCTCTATTAGCCTGGCACTCCGGTACCCAGGATGAGGATGTGATCGGCCTGTGCCTGGGGGCTCTGATGGAGACTTGGGGCTCAAACTCTGCCCCTACCGCCTTATCTGTTCGCTCTCATCTTATCCCTGGGCAACTCCAAACATGAGGCTGGAAACTTCTATTCCTTCCTCTTCTTCAGGAAGCTCTGCAGGAAGCCAGGAGTGTGGGAGTCAGGGCAGGGTGCCAGGAGGGGCTGGGAGGATCGCCTTTTCTACCTGCCCCCCCGGCATCCTCGTGGGGACCTACACTTGCTCTTTCCCGATTCTCGATTTCCAGACCCAGGTGGTGGAACCTTGCTTAACCCCAAACTCCACAGCCTGGGCTGCAGGAGGTCACACTATGCCTCTCCCTGCTCAGGGGGAGAGCAGACCTTTTCTCAGCTCCATGGATCTCTCCCTCCAAATCATGCAAGAAGGCTTTTCAGCTTTGTATGAGGGAGCTAGGAGCCGGTGAGGATGAGGCTACAACCCCTAGGCTTGAATCCCAGCTCTGCCGTGTCCTACTGGTGCGACCCTGATCAAGCAGCTTGACCTCTTCAGTTACCTCACCTGTAAAAAGAGGTTAATAAGCATATGTACCTCACAGGGCTGTTGTGGCAACTGTGCCATTAGGATCCCAGAAGGAAACTAAATTCATCCAAGGTAGTTCAATTAAATAGACTTTTAAAAAAAGTATAATTTCCGTGTTCTTTTTTCCCTAGGGGATAGTCTTTCTTTAGTGCTGGGGGATTCGGCCCCTTACATGGGCTCGGGCGGAGATTGCGGGCAGCGCTGCACTTCTGAATCGGGATATGGGTGTTGGGTCCTTCTGGGCTTCCTGCGGCTGCTTCCTACCTGGCCTGCTGTGGGTGCCTCACCTCACATGGTGATGCGGTTTCACACACAGCTTGGGAAGCACCCAGACGTCCAAGACACTTGTTTTGGCAATGTCCCTGATGGCAGTGGCCTCTGCCACGTTTCAGATGATGACCTTCTTCATGGCCTGGCCCTCAGGCATGTGTCAGGTGGGGTTTGTGCAGCGGATAGTCTGCACGTGGCCGTGACCCCTGTTGGCATGACCGTCGTTCCTTCTTTTCGTTGTTATGTGGGAAGTGAGGACCCGAGAGAGCTGAATTGACTTTATTTTATTTATTTACTTTTGAAATGGAGTTTTGCTTTCGTTGCCCAGGCTGGAGTGCAATGACAAGATCTCGGCTCACCACAGCCTTTGTCTCCTGTCTCAGGCGATTCTTCTGCCTCAGCCTCCCAAGTAGCTAATTTTGTATTTTTAGTAAAGATGGGGTTTCTCCAATGTTGGTCAGGCTGGTCTTGAACTCCTGACCTCAGGTGATCTGCTTGCCCTGGCCTCCCAAAGTATTGGGAGTACACGTGTGAGCCACTGCACCTGGCTCAAATTGACGTTAGTGAAAGGATTACTTACAGAGGTGTGGATAGGGCTGAGGGAACAGGGATGGAGAGGCCAGAGACCAGCAATGGTGTGAAGCTGCTACCACCTCTGGAGCCAGCTCCACCCTCTCAGACTGTCCAAGACCGAGGGGACTTGCAGTGCTAAAGCCAGGCAGTCCTGAGAAAATCAGGACGAGCTGGCCACCTTTCGTGGAGCTGAAGAACAAGAGAAGCCATGACTGGCAGCAGCTGTACTCATGGGGGACACAGCCAGGGCCCCAGACAGTGGTCTGAAGTGGTTGGAAGCAGGGATGGAGCCGGGAAGAAACACCTAAATTCTCTCCTTTCTCTGATCTCCTGCTGGTACCTTTGGTCAACCCAGCTGGAAGCCAGAGTGCCAGGGAGCAGCCCAAAAGGGTGAGAGGAGGGTGGAGAATAGAGCGGGAGGGAGGCAGACGGAGCATCCCCAGCAGGGAGACGTCACACGCCGTTGCATGGAAGGTGCCCAGGCCACTGTCTGCTGCATAGCACATATTCAGTAAGTGCTGACTGTAATAATGATGAAGATGAACTCAGAAAGCCCTACGCTCTGGGGCTCCTTGTCCCTGTAACTTTCCTACTGCTCAGCACCCAGCCTGGCCCATGGCAGGTACTAGGTTGGCAGCCTCCGCTGTCTTTCTCCCTCCCTTCTTCAATCCCCTCTGCTTTTGTGTCCTGCCATCAGGGAGGGACTCTGAGCAGGTGACAGTCTCCAGAGATGGAGCCCCCAGTAATGAGTCCAGCAGCGCACAGCAGATCCTCCTCTCTGTGGAGGGCAGGAGGGGAGGAAACTGCTTCTCTCTGGGCTGCAGAAAGAAGGTCTGAGCTTGCATGTCCTATCTGAAGGTAGTGTGGAGAGTAAGGGCTGGCGGAGGCAAAGTGGCCTCCCAGGCTCCTGTCTGGGCTGAGGTCGGGAGCCTGGGTGGGAGGGAAGCTGCCTCTAAGCAGCAGCTGGGAGCTCTATGAACAGCACAAAGCCTGGCCAGATCCCAGCGCAAAGCCTGGCCCAGAGAGCGTGCTTGGTGTGTGCGTGTGAGGGACCGGCGCGAGTGACTGTCAGTGTCTGGGGTGGGGTGAGGTGTGTGTTTACTGACTGCCTCTCACTCCCACCAGCCTGGCTGCACTGTGACTCAGAGGGCTGACACCTCCCCGCTTCCCACAGCCACGTCCTGGAGGCTAGGGCCCACTCATGACTGTTTCCCCCTCCCACGCAGCCCAGGGAGAGATAAGGGAGGCTGAGAAAGTGATCTCAGCCTGAGGAAAGGAGACAAAGGTCAGTGGGAAGTGGCGCCTTTGTCCAGGGATCACAGGCCATTGCTTTTCCAAAGGGCTTCCACAGAGGGACCTGCTTATAAGCAGAGGAAATAGGGCCCAGAGAAGTTTCGAGTTGCCCCAGGACACACAGCTCAGTGTGGGAGACGTCTCAGCTCGGCCCCCTCAAATGCCGGTGTCCTAACTCCAAAATCTCTTAGGACTTAAGGGACTAGTTCTGCAAGCACTCTCTCCCTGATTCCTTGTGGGAGCCGGGTTCAACTTCTTCAAGCAGCTGGGGGCCACTTACAGCCTCCCAGGGGCTCTGGGAGGAGGTCCTGCAGCTCCCTCTGGTCCCGGAGTAGGCTGTCTCTTCACCTGCCCTCCCTGGGCTGTGGGGACCACAGGAGGGAGGCCAAGCCTTCTCCATGGCAGTCCCACGTCCTCCCTGTTGGGATCCTGGGGACACAAGCTGGCTGGTCACCCTGCTCCTCTGGTGGGGGTGGGGAGCACAGCAATGCCGTCCTTACTCCTTTTTGGGGCAAGTCTCTGTTCTCTTTGAGCCTATCTTCCTGCTGAGAGATGAAGGGGGTGAGGAGGGCCGGTTTCTAAAGTGACCTCCTGAATCACCCCTCTGCCCTGACAGTTGACGTCTCTTTGCTTGGGGCTGTGTTTGGTCCCAGCAGACTGTGGTGAATAGGAAGCGGGGGAACCATGTGAGGGGATTTAAGGTGCTCCCCGGCCCCTCTGAATCAGGCACGCGGGCTCCTGCGCGTGGGGCAGGGGAAGGTGGGAGTGATGGGCTGCGGCGTGGGCCTCCTGGGGCTTTTTCGGAACACCTGCTTCTTGGAGCTGTGCCTGTCTCTACCCAGGGTGGTCCGTGTCCTTGACCCCCTCCAGCTCCCTCCAAAGCGGCTGGGCCTTTCTGGGGGGACTCCGCTGTGGGGCAGAGGGTCAGGGATCTCAGGTGTGGGTTATAGCCCCTGGCCTCTCTTCAGCCTCCATGAGTGTCCTTTGCTCACAGGCTTCTGGGCCCTGCCAGAGGACCTCAGGCCTTTCCCACCTCCGGATCAACTGCCCGGGCCCCACAGTTGGGCAGGGACCCTCTTTCTGCCCTTGAATCCACTATGCCAGCACAGACTCATCTCCCAGAAGGGTCTGCCACTGTAGGGCAGAGGCACAGGCTGTCCCCACTCTCACCCTGTCACCAGTGTCCCCCACCCTGGACCTGCGAGGAGCGGTGGGCTGTGGGCCGGAGGGTGGGACAGGAGGAGGCCTGGACGCTCTCTCTGGCAGCCCATTGCCCAACGCTCCTTTCCCTGCCACCTGCACAGCCCCGGGCCCTGCAGCCTTGGCTTACAACAGGGGCCTGGGACAAACCCTGTAGAACAGAGCCCTATTGACAGCGGCCACTGGGGCTGGGTGGGAGGAGAGCAAGTCAGCCACTGGGTGGTGGGGGTGGCCGTGGGAGCCCGTGTCATCCTGTGCCAACCAAGGAGAGCCTG